CCTGCTGTATAGAGAAACCACAGGAGGATGAGTCTAAGAGTGGCGACACTGGGTCATGTCCATTTCTGGCACTGGCCACAGCAAATGCCCAGGGAAAAGTATAGGTGCAGAGCAAGCACATATGAAACCTTCCTGCCCCTCATACTTTCGCCACTTCCAGCTCAGGGCATTGCCTCTTCAGGCAGTAACAGGGGTGCCCAGAAAAGACAAAGCAGAGGTTGTTTTACCAGCTGATCAGGTATTTTGGCTGGCTCCACATTTCTATTCTGTCCGAAGGACACAGTCCCATTTGTCACATCCCAGCAGGGGAAGCCCTGAATTTGGTCCTAGTCTGTTTTCAACACAAAAGCAATCCAGATTGCAAGAGACATCCCCAGAAGGGTTCAAAGTCCTTTGCAATTACTGAATCTTGTAGTCCAATTACCAACACACCAGCCGAAACTCAGCTAAAGCTCAGTTCCTGGGAATAATGAGACTTTACTGAAAATATTCTAAGAGCAGCCAAGTGCTGGCACCCTCCATTGCTCACTACAGCTTTGCAGGCACCCATAGCCACATCTCACAGCGCAGAAAAAGCACCTTTCTCAGGATGAGACACAGGTATGTTCCACACTCTCAGAGCAACTTTTTAAATCACTACATCTCACAAACCTCTGGTGAGCTAAGGACAGGAGCAAGGTAGAATGCAAACTACTTTCCTAAGGAAAAGCTGGAGCCCTCAAAACTTTGTCCATTCTCCCATTTATACCTGAGCCACCAATACATTAAAACAGTATGGGACATTCTAGGAAATGGGATGAGATCAGGCAGTGACAGATAAAGCATGGAATAGATAGCCAATCCTGCAAAAGAATAAAAGACGGTCCAAAACAGTCAAAGCAACTTCACTTAAAGACAAGGTAAAAGTGAAAGAATAAATGGCATCAGAGACAAAATGTGATTGCATACATCAAAGGCTTGTAGACTCTTCTATATTCCCATATGTTTATCCCAAAAAGCAATTGCTGGACTAGAGGGTAGGACATAAGCTGTTTGTAGCCTGCTTTCCTAAGGACAGAATTTGTACCTTCCAAAAAAAAAAAGACTAAAACAAAAAAGGAAAACTATGTTTTATAGATGGAATTTATTTCCTCTTGAAATAAAAAGCAACTGACTAAAGGTTTCCAATTTACAGTTATGTTGGGAGAACATAAACATATGTCTGGTCTGGAGACACTAGAGTTAAGTACCACACTGGCACCAGATTTGTGGAGTGCCTGAGTGAGAGCAGAGCAGGTACAGAGTAGGCTGCACTTGCACTGCTACTGAGCACCTTCTCAGCTAATAGTCTCTTGGAGTGAGGCTGCACAGGGACCTGACATTGCACTGCAGCTCAAGGGCAGCATCAAAAACATACATCCTTCAACAGCCCTTTCATTTTTCTCTCAGTGCTCTTACCTGAAGACCTTGACCACTTGAAGCAAATGACAAGTCTCATTGGGCTTTTGATCAGGATTCATGTTGTCACAAGGGCAGCTGTTGGAATACACCAACTTTTTTTTACAGTCCAAGAAAGTGTAATATTGGATCTTTTACATTTGTAACTTAAGAAAAAAAGACAACCTGAAGGCAGGTGGAGAGTCCTAGAAGACGAGGCATAAGCATCGTGAGGAATGTGAACATCATAGAAAACCAAGAACTGTAATTTCTGACACATGATACAGAAAAGACCAAGATGATGCTGTGACAAGCACTAGTTACCCAGTGTTCCTACTTCCACAGAAAACTCTGGGATCTCTCTTGCTGTTCACGAACAACAAAAGAACTGGCACCTTTGTAAGTCTAAAGTGGGGCTTCTGTAAGATCACAGAATGGTTTGGGTTGGAAAGAATCTTAAAGACCATCCAGTTCCAAACTCCTTGCCATGGGCAAGGACACCTCTCACCAGACCAGGTTGCTCAAAGCTCTGTCCAATCTGGCCTTGAACACTTCCAGGGAGAGGGCATCCACCACTTCCCTGGGCAATCTCCACTTCCTGGGCAACCTGTTCCAGTATACAGATTTCTGGTAGGCTAAGACCTGAATGAATACTCATGGTTCATACAAACGTTATGGCACCTGTTTCCAGGAGAAGGAGTGTTAGGTTTCCTTGGTTAAATTCCTGCTATGAGAATGATTTGACCTCCCTGAATCTAACTGCTCTAACAAGCTTTACATGGGACTAGAAATTCACATTGATGCAAAGTGTGGCAATCCACTAGTGAGGACTGAGAGAGGCATTCTTCAGCAAAGACACTGAGTTTCTGTATTGCTATTGGAAAATAATAAGAAGACTCTGAGGTGCTGGCTTTAATTTACAATTTCTTGGGATCTACTGTCAGAAAGAATGTGTCACAGCCTATGGCACGCTGCTACAAGGATGAGGCGCATTCAAGCTGCAGTGCCAGAGGGAAGAAAGATCACTACAGCAATGGCAAGGTGCTGCCTATGAGGAAGCCCAGTCTTTGGACTTTTACCTGTGGGCAACAACAGCTTTGGGGTGAAAAAATAAAAACTGAGAAACATTTTAGCAGTGCTGTGCTGCTTCAGAGGAATTGCCATTTGAGTGCTGTCTACTCTCATGTTCTGATTCCAGCCACATGTGTCATGGTGAAGGAGAGCATCAGAAGGACTAAATGTTTGATGAGGAATAAAATGCAACTGCAGAACCCAGCCCATAGGGAACAGTCATGATTTTCAGCTTTCTTGAGACATCCATACACTCCCTTAAAATCCAAGTATTTGGGGTTCTGGTGCATTCAGATTTTTCAAAGAAATATTTAGACTTGTTTAAAAAAAAAAAAAAGTTTTGTTAAGAACCATTTTCTCAAGGCTCCAACATTTTTCAAAACACCAGTTATTTGTTGACTTTCAGTGTCAGCTACAAAGTGCATTTTTGGTTTCCTGAGTTGAAAGGAGTTGGGATGATTCTAGAGGGAGGAAATGCAAAGTTTCAGTGGGCCTTAATCTGCTACAAATGAAATAATAAATACTGGGCAAAGGATGTCCCTAGAGAATTATGTTTGTCTCCTTCCATTTTGAAGATAAGCCAAAGAATGACCAAATTTTGTGGACATGGTTATAAACAAACTGGTTAAAAAAAAACTCCACCTGCAGTTTCTCAGTGAGTTGACTAATCTTTTCCTACTTCGACTGTTTGCATAGCCCTGCTGCACATGATTAAACAGCCAGTAATGACACACTCACTGTGTTTTCCCTCAGAGGTAGCCACATCTCATTCTGAGCGTCTTTTTGCAAAATTCATCGTGTCCCTTTACCAGGAAAGATGCTTTGCAAATGAATGCTGCTGCTCCTGCTATGAAATTGGAGCTGCCTCTTCCTAGTGCCATGAACATTAACATCAGCAACTGGATACCTTTCCAGGATAGCTTCCTCTGAAGCAAGAGGAGAAAGAAAAAGGGAGACTTATAATTACTTTACATCAGTCAAGTGTAAATATATATTGCTGAATAAACAGTGTGGAGACTGACCATATGCAATTATCTTGCTAAAGTAGCCAAGGGAAAGCACCACAAGTCCAGGCACATCTTGGCATATGCACAGACATAATTTTGTAACTATTTACTGTACAAAAGGCCAAGATAAATCAACAGGATGTTTGCAATGAGTTTCCTGGACTGTGTTCAGGTTTGGGGTGCAAATTCGCAAAGTGTGTTGTAAAGGAAAAAAAGGTGGAGTCAGAATCCAGAAGCATTTGACTCAGCCTCAAGCAAGGGTTACCACCTGCCACTAGGCATTACCCTGGCCCAGCACCACCCAGAATTACTAAATGTAAGCTGCTGTCAGAAGGACATTTATAGCAGGACCAAACTCCTAAGAGGAACAGGTATGCAGCTGTCCCAACACACAGAGATCACTGAACTACACAGGGTTATAAACTCGCCTCTTCCCCTTTCAAGCAAACACTCAGACTTGCCTGTTGTCAGTTCCCACATGATGTCTGTTCAGATTTTTTCCTCTCCTGTTCAGTTTTGCTGGAAGAGGGTTATGACTTAACTTGTTTGGACTGAGCCATTAAATAAACATGAGCAGGACATGGTGTGCTAGCAAAGGAGCATGTATGTTTTCAGGAAGGGAACTGACTTCTTGATGTCACAGGCAAGCCACTTTCAGACCTATTTATGCTGGAACAGACTCTACATTTTTTTCAGCCTAGAGGGATTACTTTAACAAAATTTGGATTTCCTCTGGATTTTTTTCCTTAAGAGCTGCACAAAGATCTCCTATGTTTGGTCCGAAAGTTTGGGAGTTACTCACCAAAACGCAGGAAAGCTGCTATGAACTGCAATGCAGTGGGGGAACGGAAGAAGGGTCGGACTCTTATAAGATACTAATTAATCCAGATTATTTTTTTAAAGCTAGTTTTCAGGATATATGTGATGTTTTAAGGGATCAGAGAACAGGAGAGGAAGGGGAGTGGGAGAAAAATGTTGCTTCCTATTATGTCTGTAATGGTTGGTGTTTCCAGGCCAGAAAATAAAGCAACATTTTCACCCACTCTGGAGTTTCTAGACTGCAACTCCATTTGAACAGCAGCACAATAGGCTTACTAGTTTTTCC